AAGCTGGCTATCAGAAAGTGATATATCATCAGAATGCAAAATTGGAACCCTTAGAAATCTTCTCCAGTGAGAGACATCCTTTTCTGAAAGTGGCTCAGGGGATGAAAAGGGCAGAATTCTAGGTGAGTCATTGTGGTCTCAGGATCCTAGGAGTCACAGGATGAACGCGGACGCATGAACCAGTAGAGTGCCCAAGCAGTGGATCAGGGAAACTGGTTATGGTCAGTGAATCCAGAAGGGGACTCTCAGCTGGGGTTGCCATAAACTGCAAGCTAGGTGGGTCAGGGGACTGCTCTCTGCCTCAGCACCCTGAAAAGGACTGAAATGAGCTGGCCATTTACCATCCCCTGGGAGGGGCAAAATGGCTGTGCCCATGACTGGGCAACAGCTCTTGGGGCAGCAGTAGCCCCAGAAAGGACAGTAGGGCAGCACCCAGCTGTGTCCCAGGAGCAGCAGAGCAGATGGTCATGAGCCCACAACCACTCAGAGTCCCAAGGCACACAAAGGGCAGTGATGCTCACAGGTCTCTTGGAGCCCCCCTGGGAGGATTACACTGGGAACACACCTCAAGAGTCTACAGAGTTTGGCACACATCAGTGAAAACTCATTGTCCCAGAGGGTTTATTGAAGAGGGGGGACCGAGATCCTTTGGCTCTGGGCTGGAGATCCGGGCATGGTCATTTTTACTCTGATCCTCTAAAAAAGCACAGAAAGCCTCCAGGGGAAAAAAGCCACACAGAGGATCAGCTTACTCTGGGCCCAGCCCCCTGGCAAGGGGTGGGGCAACTCCTCCCAGGCAAAGACACCTGAGAAGCAGCACAGTAGTCCCCTCCCCCAGAGGACAGACTGAAAGAACAGGTGGACTACAACTTTATGGATCCCACAAGACTGTAAAACTCCAGTGCCAGGGGAAAATAGTACATTGAGCTTGAGGTGTTTTCTCATGATTCATTTATCTTTCAGTCTAAAATTTTCCATTTATATTTTTTTAACTTTTTCCAATTTCAGCTAGATTCTTATTTTACCAACCTATGTATTTAAGTCACTTTTTAACTTTTATTTTTTCCATCTACATTTTAGAGATACATCCTTCATTTTAGTCCTTTTTTCACTCTATTCAATTTTATATATATCTATCTATCTATCTATCTATCTAGATAGATAGATTATTTATATATATATATATACACATACATACATATATATATATATAAATATGAAAATATGCAATGAATATTCTCAAACTTTTGGCATCAGTTGAGACCTGATTTGTGACCCAGTATGTGATCTATTCTGGAAAAAATTTCATGTGCACTTGAAAAGAATGAGTATTTATTGTTTTAGGATGGAATGTTCCGTATATATCTGTGAAGTCCATCCATTCTTGCTCAGCGACCTATATAGATAGATGATAGATGATAGATAGATAGATAGATAGATAGATAGATAGATAGATAGATAGATAGATAGATGATAGATAGATAGATAGATGATAGATAGATAGATAGATAGATAGATAGATAGATAGATATAGATATAGATAGATATATAGATATATAAAAGTTTCTCTCTCTTTGCAATTTTAGGATGTGGTGTCTTCTAACATACAGACCAAAACTCAATCAGGAAGAAGTAGATCACACTGTTTTGTCCACTTGCAAGATTATAGTCTCTCTCCCCCCTTTTCCTGTTTTGTTTTGGTTAGCTTTTCTGTTGTGACTCTGACAACTTCAGATTTGTCTAGGGTGTTTTTTACTTGAGTTGTGGTTGATGTTATAAACTCTGTTCACTCCCTCACCCATCCTTCTCTGGGCAAAATGACTAAAAGGAGCAATTCACAACAAAAGAAAGAACAAGAGGCAATGTTCTCTGCCACAGAGCTAATCAATATGCATATAAGTAAGATGTCAGAGACGGAATTCAGGATAGCAATTATAATGTTAATACCTGGGCTTGAAAAAAGCATAAATGGCAGTAGAGAATCTCTAAGGGTGGAAATGAGAACTAATCAGGCTGAACTTAAAAATGCTCTGAGATGCAGTCTAAATTGGATGCTCTAACAGTTAGGGTCAATGAGGCAGAAGAAAGAATAAATGATCTAGAGGACAGGCTGATGGAAAGGAAGGAGGATGAGGAAAAAAGAGAAAGACAACTCAGCCCATGAAGAAAGGCTTTGAGAATTTAGTGATGCCCTAAAGAGAAAAAAAAATGTCAGAATTATTGGGGTGACTGAGGGGTTGGAGAGAAAGAGAGGGCCAGAAGGTATATTTGAGCAAATCATAGCTGAGAACTTCCCTATTCTGGAGAAGAAAACAAGCATTCATGTGGATGAGGCAGAAAGGACCCTTCCTCAAATCAGTAAAAATAGATCAACACCTTGACAAATAATGGTTAGAGAAAAAGAAGCTATCCTGAGAGCAGCTCAAGAGAGGAGGTTCTTTACGTATAGAGGGAGGAGCATGTGTACAGATTAACATCAGACCTATCCACAGAAACCTGGCAGGCTAGAAAAGGCTGGCATGATATATTCAGGGTATTAAATGAGAAGAACAGGCAGCCAAGAATACTTTATCCAGCAAGGCTGTCATTCAGAATGGAAGGAGACATAAAGAGCTTCCAGGACAGACTGAAACTGAAAGAATATGTGAACACCAAGCCAGCCCTGCAAGAAATATTAAAGGGGATGCTGTAAGCAAAGAGAAACTCCAAAAGTAACATAGACCAGAAAGGAACAGAGACAATCTACAGAAACAGGGACTTTGCAGGCAATATAGTGGCACTGAATTCATACCTTTCAATAGTTACTCTGAATGTAAATGGGCTAAATGCTCCAACCAAAAGACACAGAGTATCAGATTGCATAAAAAAGCAGGATCCATTCATATGCTGTCTAGAAGAGACTCATTTTTAGACCTAAAGACATCTCTGGACTTAAAGTGAGGGGATGGAGAAAAATTTACCACGCTAATGGGCCTCAACAAAAACTGGGGTATCAATCCTCATATCAGACAAATTAGATTTTAAACCAAAGACTGTAGTAAGAGATGTAGAGAGACATTATATTATACCTAAAAGGGTCTATCCAACAAGAAGATCTAACAATTGTAAATATTTATGCCCCCAACATGGGAGCACAGATTATATAAACCAATTAACAACCAAAGTAAAGAAACACATTGATAATAATACATTAATAATAGAGGACTTCATCACCCCACTAACAGTAATGGACAGATCATCTAAGCAGAATATCAACAAAGAAACAAGTGTTTTGAATGACACATTGGACCAGATGGACTTCACAGATATATACAGAACACTCCATCCTAAAACAATAAATACTCATTCTTTTCAAGTGCACATGAAATTTTCTCCAGAATAGATCACATACTGGGTCACAAATCAGGTCTCAACTGATACCAAAAGTTTGAGAATATTCATTGCATATTTTCAGACCACAATGTTTTGAAACTGGAACTCAATCACAAGAGGAAATTTGTAAGGAACACGAACACTTGGAGGTTAAAGAGCATCCTGCTAAAGAATGAATGGGTCAACCAGGAAATTAAAGAACTTAAAAAAATCATGGAAACTAATGAGAATGTAAACACATCAATTCAAAACCTCTGGGATACAGCAAAGGCAGACCTTAGAGGGAAGTACACTGCAATACAAGCCTCTCTCAAAAAAAAAAAAAATCCCAAATACATAAGCTAACCATACATCTAAAGGATCTGGAGAAAGAAGAGCAAACAAAGCCTAGACCAAGCAGGAGAAGAGAAATAATAAAGATTGGAGCAGAAATCAATGAAATAGAAACCAGAAGATCAGTAGAACAGATCAATGAAACTAGAAGCTGGTTCTTTGAACAAATTAATAAGGTCGATAAACCTCTCGTCAGACTTATCCAAAAGAAAGAAAAAAGACCCAAATTAATAAAATCATGAATGAAAGGGGAGTGACACAACCAAGACCAAAGGAAATACAGACAATTTTAAGAACATATTATAAGAAATTTTATGCCAACAAATTAAGCAATCTGGAAGAAATGGATGCATGTCTGGGAAATTATAAACTACCAAGATTGAAAGAGAAAGAGGTAGAAAATCTGAACAGACCAATAATCAGCAAGGAAATTGAAGCAGTAATCAACAACCTCCCCCCCAAAAACAAGAGTCCATGGCCAGATGGCTTCCCATGGAAATTGTACCAAACATTTAAAAAAGAAATAATACCTATTTTAGTGGAGCTCTTTCAAAAAATAGACATGAAAGGAAAATTTCCAAACTCGTTCTATGAGGCCAGCATTACCTTGATCCCAAAACCAGACAAAGACACCATCAGAAAGGAGAATGACAGACCAATATCCCTGATGAACATGGATACTAAAATACTCACCAAGATACTAGCCAATAGGATCCAACAGTACATTAAAAGGATTATTCACCATGACCAGGTGGGATTTATTCCTGGGATGCAAGAGTGGTTTGACGTTCACAAATGAATTGATGTGATAGATCACATTAATAAAAGGAAAGACAAGAGCCATATGATCCTCTCAATTGATGCAGAAAAAGAATTTGACAAAATTTAGCATCCTTTCTTGATTAAAACACTTTAAAGTGCAGGGATAGAGAGAATATAACTCAATATCATAGAAGTCATCTATGGAAAGCCTGCAGTGAATACCATAGTCAAGGGAAAAAACTGAGAGCTTTTCCCCTAAGGTCAAGAGCATGAACAGGGATGCCCACTCCCACCACTGTTGTTCAACATCTTACTAGAAGTCCTAGCCTCAGCAATCAGAGAACAAAAAGAAATAAAAAACAATCAAATTGGCAAAGAAGAAGTCAAACTCTGACTCCTTACTGATAACAAGACACTTTATGTGGAAAACCCAACATTGCTAGAACTCATACAGCAGTTCAGCAACATGGCAGGATACAAAATCAATGCACACAAATCAGTTGCATTTCTTTTTTTTTTTTCTACTGTAAAATTTTTATTTCTGTGTAAAACAAAGACAGAACCCCATGGAGGTCAAACAAGGAAAACAGACGCCAAGTTCAAAGCACTATTAAGTCATGAAACAAAGAAGAATCTGAGGTAGAAGTCAGGCAATATAATCCACAACCTTTTTAGGGGCACACTGAACCATCACATCTCTAGTAAGAGCTCATTTTTTTTAAAAAGTCACAAGTTCCAAAAAGTTAATAATCCACTCTCTGAAATCAGATGTAAAACTATGACCAACAGAAGATACACACAAACTTTTATCATGTTAACAGAGGAAATGGTTTTACTAAAAGCTGCTGACGTTTCCATCAGTAGTAACCATAGGGAGGCCGCTGGTTGTAACCATAGTGTCCGTACTGATGGGGGTAGTAAGGTTCTTGTCTGTGTTGCGGGTAATTGTTACCCCAGGATCGTCCATGCCACTGATTGGATCGATTGTCACTTGGCCACCCCCGTCTGCTATCCCTACCTCTAAACTGTCTGTTATCTTGCAACCGACTTCCTCTATTTCTCTGGTTCCCACCGGCTCTGCTATTCCATTCCTCAACGATTGGAGGGGACTCAGGAGGGCGTTTCAGGTATTCCTGGTACTCCTTGTCATCTTCTGTGAATCTACTGGCAAACATCTCTTCAAAATTGGGAACAGCTTCAGAAGTGTCTGTCATCCTGAAATTCCCAGCAGTCTGAGGCAGCTGCAATGTTTAATGTTTACGTTGTTTCGATCTCTGGCCCACACGGCAGCTAAAGGATCTCCCACTACCCAGCTCTCTGAGGTAACCGAGCCACTCATCAGTTGCATTTCTATACACTAAAAATGTGACTGAAGAAAGAGAAATTAAGGAATCAATCCCACTTACAATTGCATCCAAAACCATAAAATACTTAGGAATAAACCTAATCAAAGTGGCAAATATCTGTACTCTAGAAACTACAGAACACTTATGAAAGAAATTGAGGAAGACACAAAAAGATGGAAAAACATTGCATGCTCATGGATTGGAAGAATAAACATTGTTAAAATGTCTATGCTGCCCCAGAGCAATCTACACTTTCAATGAAATCCCTATCAAATTACCATCAGCAATTTTCACAGAACTGGAACAATCTGAAAAATTGTACAGAACCAGAAAAGACCCTGAATTGTAAGGGATTGTTGAAAAAGAAAACCAAAGCTGGGGGCATCTCAATGCCTGACTTCAAGATATATTACAAAGCTGTGATCATCAAGACAGCATGGTACTGGCACAAAAACAGACCCATAGATCGATGGAACAGAATACAGACCCCAGAAATGGACCCTCAACTCTATGGTCAACTAATCTTTGACAAAGCTGGAAAGAATATCCAACGGTAAAAAAGAGTCTCTTCAATAAATTCTGCTAGGAAAATTGGACAGCCACATGCAGAAGAATGAAGCTGGACCATTCTCTTATACCATACACAATGATAAAGTCAAAATGGGTGAAAGACCTAAATATGAGACAGGAATCCATCAAAATCCTAGAGGATATTACAGGCAGTAACCTCTTCAACGTTGGCCACAGCAACTTCTTGCAAGACACGTCTCTAAAGTCAAGGTAAACAAAAGCAAAAATGAACTATTGTACTTCATCAAGATAAAATTTTCCACATGGCAAAGGAAACAGTCAACAAAACTAAAAGGCAACCTACAGAATAGAAGAAATTTGCAAATGACATAACAGGTAAAAGGCTGGTATCCAAGATATGTAAAGAGCTTCTCAAACTCAACACGCCAAAAACAAAAAATCCAGTCACAAAATGGGCAGAAGACATGAACAGACACTTCTCCAAAGAAGACATACAAATGGCCAAAGACACATGAAAAAATGTTCCACATCACTTGTCATCGGGGAAATACGAATCAAATCCACAATGAGATACCACCTTACACCAGTTAGAATGGCAAAAATTAACAAAACAAGAAACAACAAATGTTGGTGAGGATGAGTTACCCTAGGATCCAGCAATTGCACTACTAGGTATTTACTACAAAGATACAGATGTATCTGTAGCAGCAATGTCCACAATAGCCAAACTGGAATGAGACGAGATGTCTTTCAACAGTTGAATGGATATAGAAGATGTGGTTCATATATACAATGGAATATTATTCAGCTGTGAGAAAGGATGAATACCTACAATTTGTATCGACATGGATGGAACTGGAGGGGATCATGCTAAGTGAAATAAGTCAAGCAGAGAAAGACAATTATCATATAGTTTCACTCATATGTTGGATGTGGAAATAACTCCAAGGACCATAGGGGAAGGGAGGGAAAACTAAGTGGGGAGAAATCACAGAAGGAGTCAAACCATGAGGAACTCTTGACATCAGCAAACAAATGAGTGCCGTGGAAAGGGAGGTGGGTGGGGGGGGTTGGGTAACTGGGTGATGGGTATTAAGGAGCGCAGGTGTTGTGATGAGCACTGAGCATTATATGCAACTAATGAAGCATTGAACACTACATCAAAAACTAATGATGTACTATATATTGGCTAATTGAATGTAAAAAAAAAAAGAACATACAACAAATATAAACATTTATCCAACACTGGGGCATTTAAACATATAAAGCAATAACTAACAAAACTAAAAGGTGAAATAAACAGCAATACAATAATAGTTGGGGACATTAATATTCCCCCCTGGATGGATAAATCAACCAGAGACTCAGTAAGGGAACAGTAGATTTGAACAACTTTATAGACCAAATGGACCTAACAGACATATACATAACTTTTTGTTTGACAGCAGAAGAATACACATTCTTCTCAACTGTACATGAAACATTTTCTCATATAGACTCTATTTTAGGCCAGTAAACAAATATTAGCACGTCAGTAAGACTGAAACCATACCAGTATCTAATCTGATCACAATACTATGAAACTAGAAATCAATAACAGGAGGAAAAATTTAAAACTCACAAACATATGGAAATTAAACAATGATCCTCTGAATAACCAATGGATTAAGGAAAAAAATTAAATGGAGAAATTAAATATATATTTATTAATTTATTAGTAAATTAATTATATTAATTATATGTATCCATCCATATATTTATTCCTGAGGAAAAAAACAATGGAAACACTCATGCCAAGACTTATGGGATGCAGCAAAAGCAGTTCTAAGGAAAAAGTTCAAAGCACTTAATGCTTATATTAAGAAACGAGAAAGATCATGGACAAACTATCTAAATATGTGACTCAAGAAATTAGAAAAAGAAAAAAAAATGGAGCCTAAAGTTAGCAGAGGAAGGGAACCATAAAGATTAGAGCAGAAATAAATGAAATAGAAAATAGAAAAACAATATAAATGATTGACAAAACTAAGAGTTGGTTCTTTGTAAAAATAAAATTGGAAAACAGTTCACTAAACAAGGAATGAAGGAAAGGGACCTAAATCAACAAAATTATAAATGATAAAAAAGACGTTATACCTGAGACCACAGAATTAAAAAGGATTATTAAGAAATTACTATGAACAGCAATATGCTAACAAACCAGACAACCTGGAAGAAATAGAAAAAAATCTCAGAAACTTGCAACCTATCAAGACTGTATCAGGAATAAATAGAAAATCTGAACAGACCAATTATAAGTAATGAGATCAAATCAGTAATGAAAATCTCCCAATGAAGAAAATCCAAGGACCAGATAACTTCTCTCCTGAATTCTACCAAATATTTGAATAAGAATTAATATGCAACATTTTCAAATTATTCCCAAGAATTGAAGAGGAAGAACCAATCCTAGACTCATTTTAAGAGACAAACATTACCCTGATAAGAAAAGTAGGCAAAGACATCACAAGAAAAAAACTATCCAGTATCCCTGATGAATGTAGATGCAAAATTATCAGTAAAACTTTAGTAAACTGAATTCAGCTGCAGAGTATGAGAACCATTCATGATCAAGTTGAATTTATCTCTGGGATACAGTCATGGTTCAACATACACAAATCAATTAATGTAATACATCACATTTTATGAAATAAAATCATACAATAATCTAAGTAGATGCAGAGGGAAGACAGAGGAGATGGCAAAGGAGGAGGAGGAGGACTGTAGGTCCATCTTGTCACATGAACACAACTAGATAACTATCAAATCATTCTAAATAACCCAGAAATCAACCTGAAGACTGACAGAACAACTGAACAACTCCACATCTAAAGGGAGAGATGAAGCAATATCAAAGAACATAGGAAAGGTGGAGATGTGGTTTAAGGGAGAAAAAGATCATGGGTGCTGCAGAAGGGAGGGAGTCATGGTCACAGAGAAAGGCAAGAGAGAAAGAGAGAGGAATGCACCGGGAATCCCCAAAGCCATTGGCTGGGAAAGTGAGAGGGGCTGATTTTCATGAGTTCTTACAACCAACAGGGCTTAAAGACTGGATTTTTTTTTTTTTGGTGCAAAAAGGTATTTTTGTTTTTGCTTTTGTTTTGTTGTTGTTTTTGTTTTTTGTTTGTTTCAGAGGTAGAGTTTAGTGATCCATCAGTTGCATACACTCATGTGGAATTTAAGAAACAAATCAGATGAACATGGGGAAGGGAAGGAAAAATAAAATAAGATAAAAACAGAGAGAGAGGTAAACTATAAGATATTCTTAACTATAGGGAACAAACAGGGTAGCTAGAGGGGGGGTGGGGGGATGGGATAATTGGGTGATGGACCTTAAGGAGGAAACTTGATGTAGTGAGCACTTGGTGTTATATGCAACCAATGAATCACTAAATTCTACCCCTGAAACTAATACTACACTATATGTTAACTAACTTGAATTTAAATTAAAAAACACCAACATCATTTCTCACAAAACCAGAACAATTAATACTAAAATTTGTATGGAATGATGAAAGACCCCAAATAGCCAAAGTAATCCTGAAAAACAAGAAAGGTAGAGGTATCACAATTCCAGGTTTCAAGATATACTACAAATCTGTAGTAATCAAAATGTATGGTACTGACACAAAAATAGCCACAGATCAATGGAACAGAATAGAGAACCCAGATTCAGGAGAGGCAAGATGGTTGAGGAGTAGGGGACTCCGTTTCAACTGGTCCCCTGAATTTAGCTAGATATCTACCCAGCCACTCTGAACACCCATAAAATCATCCTGAGATATAAGATTATACATCTGGATCTCTACAGGGGCAGAGGATCATCACTGAGAGGTAAGAAAGATGGAGTTGGGATTGCTTGGAAAGAAGTCAGAAGATAAACAGAAGGGGGAGGGGACCGCCAGAAGCTAGCCTTTGCAAATTAATACCCCAGTGCAAAAGCGTCCTGCACCTGGGGACCAGGGATAGCTTGGAGAGCAGTGGCTGAGTGACAAGAAAGGACTGATAACAGCACTCAAACAGGACACAGGGGCTTAAAGGGCAAATGCTGGGACTGGGCAGTCACAGTGCTGCCAGCCACCACCTGAGCCTGAACCCATGCCAGAGAGGACCCAGTGCAGACTGAGGTGGCCACCGCCACCACCAGTGCCAGGGAGGACCCAATGCAGACCTGAGCCAGTGGAAATGGGGCTGGAGATGGCCACTGCCAATGCCACCTCTTCTGCTGCTGCTGCTGTGGCACCCAAGAAGACCCAGCTTGTAACTGTACCCACAGATCCAGGGGTGACCACCGCTCCTGCCACGGC